AGTCATACTTGCCTCTACTTCTCGTATTTTTTCGTTTTTACAAATTTTATCTAAAAATCTTTTCTTTTTATTTTGTAATATTTTTCTCTATATTTTACACCTACACTAGACAGATCAATAAGACGATGTTATATGAATCAATGCAGGTTTTTCATTTTATGGTTTACTTAGTAATCTATAGTTGTGTATATCAACTTAAATGCTATTGCGCCTCTAGAAGCTATCTATTAATGAATGTCTCAGTTGGTCACACTGAATTGATGTGAATTTTGGGAGACCTAAGAGCTTTCGAGATTCACCAAATTCACTAAGATCATATATTTTTTATAAAAAAAAAACACAAACAAAAACTGCGTAAACAACATAAAATGTGTGCTCTATAACTTATTATTCTATCAAACTTGAATCTACGATTGTGAATTAGGTTTTTGGAATATTTTGGTGGTTTGTTTAGGTGACTAGTCTGCTTGCAATAGTTTTTTATTTACTAGGGGACTAATCTGCTTTTTTTTCAACTATTTCAAATTTTTATTTTTGTAAAAGTAAATATAATCATCATTTAATTTGTTAGTATGTTAGTTATTATAAACAATCTTAAAAATCAATTTAAAATATATATTGAATATTAATAAGTAATTTAGAGTAATATAAAAATAAAATAAATATTTATCAATATTTTTAATTAATTATAACATAAATTATTGTTTAATATTTACATAAATATTATTTAAGAGTCAATTAATAAATGTTATTTACATAAATAAAATTTTAATTGGACATGTGTCACTTTCTCTATTCTTTCTACTACTATGTTAAAAAGCTGGAAAGAGTCTCTTTTATTTAGATTTTTTTTGTAAATGTAATTTTGCATTCGAGTGTATGTGGAGCTTGAACGAATCTTAGTAAGCTAATCTCATGATCTTTACAAACACTTAATTAATGCATGATTAAACGATGTCGGTGACAGAGATGAAGGCAAAAGCTCGTGATGTTGCTGTTGCCACAAACGACATCTCCAATAAGACATAACACCCAATGATAATGACATGACAAATCTGTCGCTATCCAAGTTGCTATTCTTGTAATTAAGCCGGCCTTATCATACACTCCACATGTAGTATTCCGATAATTGACATCATTTTTTCCTTATTATTCTCTTGAAAAAAAGACTTTTCACAATAGATTCTTTAAAAAAGATAAAGCCTTCTCCAACTATAACACCAAATTTGATGTTTGAATAATGAAAAATTTGGTGTTTTAGTGAATAATTTTTTTTTTATTTCCAACCATAACACTAAATCACACACTAAAAACTTTTTTTTTAATTATTATATTACTAATTTTAAAATTCTTTTTATTTTTTAATAGTTTTGTTACATACTAATCTTATCTTATTATATAAAAAAGAATAACTCAAAATTAGTAACTCGCAGGATTGTAATACATATCAAATTAAAGGATCAGTTTTTGACACATGTTTAATTAATCTTTAATTATATTTTATAAAAAGGGATTAAGTATTTTAGTTATCATGATATATATCATTTAGGAAATGTCTCATTAGAATACTTCTTTTCACTAAGAACCCTAAGTTATCACACTACCCCCACCTTTTTCACGATCTCCGGATTCTTCAAAAGTGTTCATCTTTCTTCAATGATATATATCATGATAACTAAAATTCTACTCATCAGGAAAAAATTATAAATCCTAAATTCTCTGCAAAAACCCTCTACTTTCATTTTCTCAGAAACTATGAAGGAATTTCAATTGCTGACGAGATAGTTCTGAAACTTCAAAAAAGCAAAAACAGCAAAAATCTTTAAAACCAGAGCCGTGAATGCTGTTTTCCTTATAGCTCGGGATTTTTGCTGTTTAATTTTGATTCAGTTTCTATTAGGATTTTCTTTGAGTTCTATGAAAAAGTACGCATTGATAACCTCAAAATCGAGTCATCAGAAACGACACTATACAAGCGCAATTGTGTTAAAGCAAGTTACCTATTTACCCCTATAACCGTCGCAGAAACTAGCCCATGTTTGTAGTATCCAATTTTTTAAGTGTGTTCCCACTATCTAACAGTTCTATATTGCTGGTTGAGGAAGTATAATTAATAAAGGAAAAAATCAGAACTTTTGGCTTTATCCTGTTGTAAAAAAACGAAAGGTTCTGGTTGTTTAGGGTTTGTAAACGTTCCCACTATCCTTAAGGCCGATTTCTGCACCCCAAACCTACAAAGCAATAACCCATTCATTTTCTATAACGATGGATTCTGCAGTTAAAAGTAATGGCGAGGAGGTGCTATCCGACTCCAACTCCGACGAGGTAATTTTTCATATTTAAAAAAAAGGAATTTTACCTTTATGGCTTCAAGTTTGATCTTAATCTATCGAATATAAGTGGATTTAGGTGCCCGATTTTGAGTTTAGAGTTTCGTTTACACTATTTCAACAAAAATTTTATTTTTCTAGATGGCTGATAACACCATATTTGTACCTATTTTTACTATTGATTTCAAATATTTTTTCAAAAGTTTTAATTAGTTTTAGCAATTTTTATTACTATTTTTTTATATTTGTAGTTCAAAACTTTTTTCAGGTAACTTAGGGAAAAACATGACAAAATGGAGGAAATCCATATTTTTAGCTCAACGTCAAACCATCAGAAGTTCAATCTCAAATGAAAACTTTTTCACTGTCTGATCCATCTCAAATTTGAATAAATTCATGAGGATCTAGGTGACTTTCCATATCACTTTACTTTATGACAATCCAACGCTGCAATCAAAAGATACACGCATGAGTCCGGACTGCGGCCAACCATACCTCGACCACGGTCCGGTACTCGTGGCCGCAGCCAAACATGCTCCTCCTGCGGTCGCGTGAGTCCAGACCGCGGCCACTGGTCGTTCAAACGACCTCCAACCCAATTTTACCCATTCCACCTCACGATGACTCATTTGACCTCATCCACCACTTCCCACCACTTCCAATCACCTTTTAGTATCTTCCCGCATCTTTCCGCATCTTCTTGCATCTTCCTGCATCGATCAGGTTCATTTCCGTCAACATCCCGGTTCAAATTTCATACATCATTCGTCCACCACAACATCATTTGCATCTTGAACACCATCCCCTAATGCATTCCGCCAGCATCTGCATCATACATTAATCCCGCGTCCAGGTAAGTTCTATTTTACTTACCTTTTTTCTATACATCTATGCATTTTTCTCATCCAAATTCGATTTATTTCACACTGAGGACAGTTTGATTTAAGTATGGGGGAGGATTTTATCCCTTTCTAACCATTTTTCTTTCATGAGTCTTGCATCATCTACATTTTTCGTATTTTCCTTAAAAGATTTTCAAAAACGGATTTCAAAACAAAATACATTTTAAAGGGAATAGTGAATATAAATCGATGATAGTTGACTGTGTGCTTTTAAACTACTTCCTAGTGATATGCTAATTCGTGATTTAGGACTAGACTAGGCAGTAGCTAAACACATTTGAAACGAAATACCCCAGAAGAATTTGAATGATTTCGATTAAGATGAAGGAATACACTAGCTCTGTTTTATTTGGACTTAACATTGACTTAACTTTCTCATTGAAGCATTAGATCAGGGAAACGAATCATACATTAAGGACTCCTTTACCTTTTTACCACTCTTTGTTGATCCTGAATGGCTAGTTCAGCTTTAGCTAGTTCTCCGCCTAACCCAACCTCTTTCAAACCACCTGCATTCATTTTTTATTTTCCAATATGCAGATATGTGCAAAAACGTCGGAGAGAAAAAGGATCGACGTAGTTTTCAGTCACTGAAGACGAAGACCTGCGATAATGACAACAAAGGAGAAAACGTGGTTTGCTTCAGAAAAATGCAAAACATTGGTATATTTTTGTCCCTTAGACTCTATCTCTTAAGAAAAGGTGTTTTCCCTTTCAAAAAAAAATGGAATAAAGAAGAAAAGAAGAGAAAAATAAAAATAGAAAGAAAATAAAAATCTTAGAGAGTCTAGGAGGATCAAATTTTATCCTTGAGGCAAGCCTTGGTTCGATTATTTAGAGTTTTGGAGAATAACTTTCTTATTCCCGGAAAAGATCTAAGTCTGGGGGAATTAACTGTTTACGACAAATGAGGAAGGATTATGCAACAAATTTTGTCAAGGAGAAGTGACTGAAAATTGCGGACATCACCAAGTTCATTCTCTCTTGCGGTTTTGCATAATATCTTGCATTCTCCAGATCTTCAGGTAACCCAAAACACTTTTCATTCCACCACTTAAACAGCCTTTAATACCAAACGCCGTCTAACCTGAATGATGTTTTTGATGAGAATTCACTATACACTTCATGAATGTATAGAGCTAGTTGACTGGAATCAAGATTTAGATTGTTTAGCATTTGCTTGAGGGAAAAAGTGGACTAGTATCTTTTGTGTTTTGGTGAGAATTTTTAGAGTAAGTTGCGATTATTGTACGATCAATGGTCATAGTTTAGAGGTTCATGTCTCTGAGATTTATGCATTTTCTATTTTTGTTTTCACTTCACCTGATTTGATTTATGCTTTGTTTGTGGACAAACAAATGTTTAAATATGGAGGAGTTGATAATACCGTATTTTGACCACTTTAATAAATCGTTTTTCAATATTTTTTAAATGTTTTTTATTTTTTATAAGTGTTTTTATTATGGTTTTTTAGTATTTGTAGTTTCTAAACTTTTTTCAGTAAACTAAAACACAAGATTTAGGTAAAATAGATGAATGTGTTACTATTAGATATATTTTTAAGTTTCCTAATGTCCAAAATAAATACTTTTGAGTTTTAATTTAATTACCAAAAAAGATACTTATTCCTCTGTTCACCCATAGCAAATGTCTTTTTTGTCTCTTTTTCTTAAGCACACTCATTTTAATATTACCGTCCAGTAAAAAACAATTTCTCAATTTACGGTTTCATAAAAATCAAAACACAAACCTAATTTTCTAACTCAGCAATAATGGCGCAGCAGGAGCAATTCCTTCACCAGCGTCTCATCCAAAAACCATTCTCAAAACCTTCTCTTCCTCTCCTCTATCGTATTCTTCAGCTCAAGAGCAATTCCTTCACCAGCGTTTTATTCCCACCACCTACGCCGCTCGTGAAAGCAGCTCGCTCTTAGAAGTCTACTCCGGTTTCACAGCTGTTTCAGTTGTTGAAAAAGCACTATAATAGTAGAAGAGAAGGAACATGACCAAGGCTCGAAAGCCTAAGAACGAGGAAGCTTCTGGCTGGAAGTGTTCGGAGAAAGTCAGAGCAAAAGTGCTTCACCAGAAGCTCTGCCTTTCTGTCGACTTAAAAAAAAGGCAAATCTACGGGTTCGTCGCCGACTCTTACTTTTCTATTCTCCATCAGAACTGAGTGCATGAATTTGATTTGTGGCTGCTTAATTTGTATGAATCTGCAGAGAAATTGTGTAACTTAAATGATTTTTGAGAAGAAACAGTTCGATGAAAGATATTAGGCTCTTAGAGTCGATGATTGGATTTAGAGGAGCTACGGGTCAGCTCTCGAAGTTAACGATTCGTTAGAGAAATTGCAGATTTGGGAAGACTCAATCGGGTCAAAGGGAGCAGAAGAGCTCTCGAAGATTATACATCGAGCCTACCTGGATTTCGAAGATGTTACATCGAGTGTGGGTTTCCAAAGATTTTGTCCACAAAGTTCTGACCACAAAGATTTTATCCATAGAGATCAACAGGGTAAACAGAAACGTTTACACATCTGAGAAGTTGTAACCGCTGATTAGACACTGATCTGGAAAAGGAATAAGATCTGGAAAAACAAGGAAACGAGAGAATTACGTTGGAAGGTTGACAAACGGAATCGCTGGTTGATTTCTCAGCTCTGAATACTCTCTCCTCATCTCCTTCTTGTTGTCTTATTTTTTTTCATAGAGAAAGCAGATCCGTCGCCTTGTCATGACAGAGATGGATCTGGTGCTGAATCTATGCATATTGATAAAGGTCTGAAGGACGAGGTACGATTGATTGGTCCCGGTCACTGTTAGCTTCCATGTTTTGTTATCACAATCAAGCTTTTGCCATCTAGAACCAGTTAGCACTTGCGACTTTACTAGAATTCCAGAGTTAAGCTTTTGTCAGTCATTTATAGTTCAGAGACCATGATTGTGTTAATTGGGACAATTTTCTTGCTTTCTATGTGATACTTGAGCTAATGAGCTTGCTTATGGAATGAGAAGAAGCGTTTGATGAATTATGTGACTGAAATGGTCTAGAGCTTTGTTTCTATCAGAAATGCTTTGAAACTTTTCACAGCCTTTGCCTTTGTTTCTTTTTTTCTTTCTCCTAACTTTACATTTGATTATTTGTTCCCTCTTGTTTTTTCTGCTCACTTATTCAGCTGTTACTCAGGAGATTATATGAAATTTTGTTTGACTTGCTCTCCTGAAGTTAGAAAATCTTGATAGACCTCGGCGAGAATCTATTTTGCATAGATCGATAGAATTTGATTGCTGGTCTATTCAAAATGAAAATCTAACCTGCTGTGATTAACTTGTGAAGTTACAGGCTCTATTTCTTCGTCACTCTGTTGCTACTAAAATGGTACAATCTGTTTGAGTCAAAAAGAAGTGTACTACTAAAATGTGTTTTCTTTTGGATCGGATTATGTGCTCATTGGTCATGATTTTCCTTTAAAGTGGCTGTGGTTTCTGGGAACTCTATAATTCATCATACTAGGAGCCGATTCTCGAACCCATGGCTGTTACTCTCAAACCTGATTATAGTAAAAAAGGGATGTGATATCCACATGTTCATGTTTGCGTGGATACTATATATTTTGGAACTGTTGAAATGATACATTGAAAACATGAAAATCGATAATGGAATGGAGTATCCATGTATTCACGGTTATGTGGACACTATATCCTTTGAAACTATTGAAATGATACATTGAAAAACCGAAGATAGCCAAGAAAAAAGATAAGATATCCACATGTTCATGTTTGCATGGATATTATATCAATTATAAATGTTACAAAACAACATAGTATAGTATTGAGAATTTAAATAGGGGAAGATATTCTACAAAAGGATGGGAAATCTATACATTTTCAAGTTTGAGAAGTTTACAACAACTACGGTAGTTGAACTACCGTAGCTTCTTTTGTTGAGAATTTTCCCTCGAGGTGTGAATCCATCAACTGAATAATATTGTTACCACATATCATATCCAGAGCCTACAAGAAGGAGATATCACTAAGCTAATACCACAAAACTTATCCACTTGTACATGACAAACATCTTTGAAGAATAACTATGCAAGAACTATGAATCACTCAGGATCTATGCACTGCTAAAAAGAGCAAAATTAGAAAGAAAACATACACCCAGGTCGTACTCTTTATGTACACATTAGATCAATCTTCGAAGATGGTTTTCAAAGTAGGAGATCAGAGAGAATCAAAGAATTTTCCCAAATACACACAATGATTTCCCAAGAACAATCGACAAAACACCTTAAAACATGAAATCGATCAGCGTCACACCTTGGACTTGAAGTTAATAGCAGTGAGATGAACTACAGGCGACGATGATCCATAAAGAGCAGTGTAAGTTACCTTGCGGATAAGATATAGGAAATCGTCAACTAGTAACCTTCCTCGCTTTGAGCCAATCTCTTGAGCCTTATGTGTCTGACACATTAGTTAAGCATCTCTTATTGTTTTGACATTGGCACACCTGATAAGCAAACTATTAGAACAATAGAAACAAAATTGCTTCTAGACTACACCAAAGACTGGTGGAATCAAAGCATATATACCCACCAAAAAAGTATACATTATGCGTAAGAACCCATAGAAGAGCAGCCGCTTTGTTAAACTAGTAGAAAACACATAGAATTAACTTTCATTTCACTTGGAACTGTTTCATAACCCGATGGACACTAAATCATTTGTATCCAGATTCTCTCTACTTGTAATCCCGATGGACACTAAATCATTTATATCCACATGTTACAAATTGATCATGTGTATTACAATCTTTTTAGTGTATTGTAATATTCTTTAAATCAAGCTTTGTCCCTAAATCAATCAAAAAAGATATGAATGTCTACGATTCAAGCTCAATTCCTAGAAATTGATTCAACATTTTAGCTGGATGAACCATTGATTGCTTGGAGCGATTTGCTAACAGCTTCTGTCTTTTGAAAGACATGGTAACAGCTTCTGTCTTTTGAAATACAGGAAATCGAAAGACAATATCAGAAGCCTCTAATATGGAACTCTTTTTCTCAAATATCTGTTACCAAGTCTTTTTCTCAAATATGGAACTCTTTTTTCTCAAATAACTGTTTTAAGAAGCTGTTACCAAGTCTTAAAACAAAAACAGAAATTAAATTGATACACTCGAAAACCACACAAGAGGGCTTCTTTTAAACATTACATCAGACTCAGTCTTTGTTTTATTGGAACTTACCAAAAGCACTCAAAAGCATGAGCACCATCGGCTAGGAGTCTTTAGATTCCCCTTTTAGCACAATCTCTAGGAATTACGATTTGATACACCTCTTACTTGGCCTCGACCACCATATCCATAGTCGCCGCCGCCGCCACCACCACGAGGTCCACTATAACCGCCACATGAATGAACGTTACCGCAGAAAGCTTCTCTCATTTGCCAAAACTCTAGCATTTTCATCACCCGTATTCATCTCAATAAAGTTCGTCCATGCAAAATTCTTACGTCCATTTAATTATGCTTACATGGACATGCTTCTTTTAATGGATTCTTATAAACAAATTTCCAATTTCAACAAAGCTATTTACAATGGGCGTGAAATCTTGCAACCTGCGAGAGTGAAAGAGGAGATCAGAGCAATAATTAAGGAAATACAATCTCACAACATCCATTTAGAAGAATTTCTCTCCAGATTCATACAATAAACATACATATAGCTCAATTTCTCTCCAGATTCATCAATTCCACTGCAGATTTTAGAGATTTAAAGTGAACTGATCCAAATATTTCCAGATTCAAAGGAAGAAAAAGAGAGATTGAAGAATCTAGATGACAACCCCAGAAATCCAGATTTGAGGAATCCAGATGACAATGTCGGAACCAGAAAAAGAGCGCTCGAGGAATTCTTTGGAAACCAAGAATCCTAGGGAAATAAAACAACATTCTCGCTCAATGACAAAAGAGAGATTACTGTTTTTGAACCCTTAAACTAATGCCAAAATGATCTCCTCTTCTTCTCTTTAGCTGCTTATAGAGACCGGGCGCTTGGTAATGAGTTTCACTGCATTGGTAATGAGTTTCAAATATTATTTTTAACATTACAAGTAGAGAGATCTAGGATATAAATGATTTACTATCCATCGGGATTGTACTATATGGTTACGAAACAGCATCAAATGATTTAGCGTCCACGCAAACATGAACATGTGGATATCCCATCCTCTTATAAACACTTTTGCAGTTTTTCGGTGTATCATTTCAATAGTTTAAAATGATTTAATGTCCATAGGGATTGTACTATGTGGTTATGAATCAGTTCCAAATGATTTTGTATCTTTGTAATTTAGCTTTTCGTGTGACTCAGCTAATCAATCCTTCTTTCGTGCGTTGTATCAAAACTTCAAGCAGCTTAGGATCCAAAAACTTCAAGCAGCTTAGGATAGACACTTGGTTTACAGTGTTGCAACAAAGCTCTGCCTAGGTTCTACTCTACCTGTCACCTAGATTACATAGCAAAACATAACCAGCCATATCAAAGGTTAATACTTTCAACTAAAAAACTACAGTTCGAAGATAATCCAGTAGATACCATAAGAGAGATTCAGGTGAGATGATTTGCAACTGATTTATGTATATACCATAAGAGAGATGCAGAGTCAACACAAACAAGCTACACAAAGTAGTAACAATAAAGAGTTATAAGCGTTTAAGTATAGCAAACAAACAAAACAGGAGATAGCAATACTGTAGGACAACTAGTTAGCAACTAAAAGGAGTAAAAACTTTTAAAGATCAAGACCTTGATATCCTCACAAAGTCACAAACATTCACAAATTCGAAATCCAAATTTTGAGGTTTCAAGGGAAGAGATAACTCGCGTAATTGTAGACTTAGAAATCATCAATGAAAAACGTGACACTTCCCAAATCAAAGGTCAAAGCTTCATCTAACCGATGAACAATCGCCTCAAATTCCAAAATCCATCTCAAATACATAAAAATAAGGTGAAGATCAACAGGGTATCGTCTTCCTTTTTTTTGTTTTATTATAGCCACAGTTTTACTTGCGTTGAATAATTCCGTTTATCTAAAAGACAAGAAATCAAACGACAACATCAATTACATATCCACTGCATATGCCATGGAATCATCGATTACATATCCTTCGGTTTGTTGCATTTTTCCCAATCGAACTTCAAGCAAAAACAAAATCGAAACAATCAAATGTTGTATGGGAAAGGAATAAGATCTGGAAAAACAATGAAGCAAGAGAATTACTTTTTAGGGTTGAGAAACATAATAGCTGGTTGACTTTTTAGCTGTGGCACAGAAGAAATTGAAGAGACAACCCATGGCTTCGATGAAATCGGAAGAGAGAAAAAGGAACAGCAATGGAAGAAGCTACTGAGATTTTCCGAGAAAGATAGGAAAAGTCGAGAGTGAAAGAATTGGTGGGTATGAGTCAATTGTTTTCAAATTTGAAATTATCTGATGGAAATCACGGTAATGAGATAAGTCCAGAAATGGGAGATAAGGTAAAGAGAAGGTAAAAACACTCAAATGGTAAATTCAAAAATGAAATAAGGTAAATAAGAAAGGAGGGCAAAATGGAGTAAGGTAAATAGAAAAGGGAAAAAGGTAAATACAAGGTAAAAGGGAAGGAAGGTCAAAAAAATTCAAAATAGAAATAAAATAAGATATGTCTAAAATAGGAGTAAAATAAGATAAGTTCACCAGATTTAGAAAGTGTATTTTTTGGCAATTATACTTTTAAAAAGTACATCTACTGGTAATATTCTCTAAAATAGATAGAAAACTATATTTTCAGCTCAGAGTCAAACCGTCAGAAGTTCAGCCTCAAATAAAGACTTTCTCACCGTCTGATCCAGCTCAAATTTAAAGACATTAAAGATGGAACAATCAGCTTTCCAGCACACTGATAACACCGTATTTGTACCCATTTTCACTATTGATTTCAAATGCTTTTTCAAAGGTTTTAATTAGTTTTAGG